TATATATATATATATATATATATATATATATATATATATATATATATATATATATATATATATATATATATATATATATATATATATATACATACACACTGTATATATTAAACTATATATACATACTTTGATGTAATATTTTTAGTCGGTTTGGCTGATTTAAGTTGAGATGACTTGGAAATTTGCTACTAAAAAAATAAGGTAGGCCATTTTTCACAGTGTATTATTAAACTGCAGATGATGCTTTTGGATAAGCTGGTTTGTATGTTTTGTGCTTTAATTAACTGCCTGCTCTACTAAATGGTTGACAATATTTTGACTGTTTATAATAATGACTGTGAAAGTAATTTGAAGAATGACTGTTTTGAATAATGGTTTACACTGCACAGCATTGTTGGTTTACAAAAAACAAACAAACAAACAAACAAAAAAACACTTGATTTCAGTTTTGGTGTAAAAAAAACAAAAAAAAAAAACAAATGAGAATCTTAAATGTTTTATGGCATACTTATAAAAAAAGAAAAAGAAGATGATTTAGTATTCAAAAATGTTTGATTTTGATTATTTCCTTTAAATACATTTGTCTTACACTACATATTTTCAGATTTTTCATAGTATATGTATTAATACTGGTACTTTTACGATAAACTGACATATCAACCATTTGGTAGAGGCTGATATTTTAGAAATTATGGGATGTGTTGAAATAAAATGTGTGTAAACTAGTGACATTAGGAGGCTTTTTTTTCTTGGTGGGGCAGTTAAAGGGTTAAGGGGCCATATTTATTTCATAGGGCTCAAAATTGCTAGCGGTGCCCTTGGGTTCCAGTACACTATTTGAAAGGAGCTGAATTAAATAGACTGCACTGATGCTATAAGACTTTCTCTCTAAGAGCACACATTCTCCTTTTCTCTCTCCTTATCTGTTGAATTACCGGTGGGAAGCAGCGCTGCGACATTCAGCTTCCATTTCCTCTCCTGCTGCCAGGAGGCACAAGAACTGCCAGAAACCCAGAAGTGCCTTGTTTAGCAGATAAAACACAGCATGAGGCCAAATGACAGGAAACATCACCGAGCCAGAAAACACGCTGCATGGATGTTAAACACGTTCAGTCACAAAGATTCACAGGCGTATTTCTGATATTCTATAATCATCTGTCATAGACGGGGTTTGTTACCAAGAATACGAACTGCACAGATTTTAAGTTTGTAAAAATAGCAAATGGCAGATTACAGAGTGCATGTGAAATTGTTTCCTGTTCTGCATTTCCACCATTCTCGCTCCTGAAATTCACACACAGCCATGGAATTTGCCGAACTCTTGCCGTCTTGCCTTTTATATATGTCGCCTACACAAGGGATATTTCAGGTCAGCTTTGAAAGACACAGCATACAGCCTCAGTTCTCCTGCCTGACCAGAGTACTATAATTCAATGCAGATGTTGCTGGCATCTGATAACACAAGCAATTTCACAAGCCAAGATGTCGAATTTTGAAGATATATGAACATATTTATCCCAATTATTCATTGTGCTAACATAGACTTGCCTATATTTCATTTAGTGGTCACAAAAGTATTTGGACACTTGAGCCAATCTTAAAAAATGTCATTGCAGTAGAAATATCTAGATGTAAAACCAAAGTTGACTTCACAGCTCGACTTTAACGTCACTTTTCTGAGCCCTTTTTTTGTAATGATTTACAGTCAACTGGTGATTTTTCGTAAATTTATGAACACCTTCCTAGAGGGTTAACCATTAAATTCAAGCTTTTCAATTCTAGTTTATTTGCATAGCGCTGTACAATTATCATCATTGCATTAACTAATCACAACCAACACTCTGCATTATCCAATAAAGTTTAACATGACCTGAAAGAACACTTCTATTCGAAAGTCGAAGGTAATTAAGGCACAATTCCAGTTCTAACCCTTAGGCCATCCCCTTACCCCCTCGTTATGCACATACACGTTATTACATGCCAGCACTTATTTGGTTAGTT